CACCAACCTTTTCTGGTGTTAATTTCATAAGTTCCATGTTCTCCATACTGTGACGACGTCCTACCCTTGGCCGGGTACCTTCAAGAAAGAAAAAAGTTCATCTTTTTTTGCCATTAATGTTTATGGTGTCACCTTCAAAGCTGTGCCTGTGTTCATCAGATGCCCAAGATAAGCAATTCTGAGTTCCAAGCTCACAAGAGAATAAATAATCAGTAGTAAAAGCAGCTTTAAAAACCACACAGGTGTAAGGTATGCAACTTGCTTTCATGGGACAGAAAGGAGCATGAATCTTCACACAGAAAAACATTACATGAAGCAGCTTTAACTATAACCCCTTTTGTTCTTACAATAGCACAAAGGAAAAAGGAAGGATGTAATTTGGGCAGCAAACAACTACATTTGCCACATTAAAAAAAGACTGATTAGAAACTTCAGATGATGTGTTATGTGAAGAAATGAGGGCGTAACATATGGTTAACAAGAGAAATACTCCAAAAAAGCAGGAGCTGAAGGGATCCAGCACTGCACCATTTACTTATGGGGAAAAAATAAACAATGCAACCTCTATAGTCAGAAAACAATGCAAATAACAGTTGTTTTTTTTGAAGTTTGATATTAGAAAGTATTTGGAGAAAAGCACGTACCATTCAGACTGTTATCTACCGCATGGCTTTCTGATATCATGGAGGTGTTTGTGCTATAGCTTAATCCAAGAACCATTTGAAGATCTGAGAGATTAAGTCTAGCAGTGAGTTCCCCACTTCTATCTCCTACCTGTAACCAAATAAAATAAGCAGTTCTGTTACTGTAACAAACACATATACATATGTAAATACAAAGGAAACTTTGTTCCCAGGCTTCAAAGAGAAAAGGGTTTAAATGTTTTTCTTGTTGAAAACTGTCAGTGCCATCTTGTTACTGAAGTATCAATAATGCACAAGCCAAAGCCTAAAATAACCTCTGGTAGGCTCTCAGTGAGAGCAAAAACCTGGCAGCTAACAGACATAAGTGACGATCGTACCTCTCTGGAGATCTCCAGGTGCCTCTCAGCAAAGTGCATAGCTTGGTCATGATTGCCCAGAGCAGTATATGCATTCCCTAAACTCCAGCATGCTCTTCCTTCACCAATTCTGCAAAAAATAAAATCCCCTTCAGGGATACATTTCACATACTCTCTGAACGCTAGGTGTCAGGTTTTCATAATATTACCAAAATAATATTACTGTGCCAAGGAAAATTCAGACTGTCTCCAGAAACTATTCCAACACCACCATGTTAAGTACCTTCTTAAAGAACTGTGATCTGGTATAAGCATAAATGTGAGCAAATCTCATCAAACTTAAATTTTAAGATTTACAGCAATCATTTAAGTCACTTCTTATAGTTATGCAAGCATGGAACACTGCATAACCCCCTTTCTGTTCCTCAGATTGTGTGGCTCATTATTCTTCATGTATTCTGTTTGTCTTGTGCATTTAAAAGCTGTAAAAAAAAACCAAAAACCAAAAAACAACAACAACCACCATCACTGCCACCACAAAAACAAATGCATAATTCTACCTCCTCTCCCCCCCTCCTCCAAAAAAGCTTTACAAATAATTTTAAAAGAGGCATTATTTACTACTGGATTATCTTCCCTTCATCATCCCTTTTTATTTTCTTCATTTGTGGAGAAGCAGAAGAAAAACTCCTGTGAAGATATCCAAACTTCTTCAATCAAATCATGGAAAATACGCTTTTCCCTTCATTTTCAAAGGCAATACCAAGAACAGAAGATCAGTTATCCTCCAATTGGATTCATTATCTGCAATACTTGCAAGAGCTTTTTTTCCACCATTTCAAAACAAGCTCAATACTGCAGGGAATCACATTCAAATGTCATACACAGAACAATGTCAGCTAAGTTTGAAGTAACAGGAATTGCTTTAAGCATCATACATATTAAACAATCTCTTAGGACTTACTTGTCATTTAATTCCTGAGCAATCACAAGGTGTTTCAAATGATAATCAATTGCTTTCTCATAGTCCTGAAGCAGAGTGTATGTGTTTCCAAGACTGTAGCAGGCCTGTGCTTCCACAGCTCTATCTTTAAGCTGCCTAGCCAGCTGTAATGTCCTCCTGAAAGAAAGGGTTAGTCACCTCACAAATCACTACTTACACAAGTAAAAATCTCTTACATAAACTAAATAGATTAGGACACCAGACTAACAAATTAGCAGCTAATAAATTATCTTGCAAAATCTTATGAGATTTTAGGCATCTTCAACTCCCATTCATTGCAGTCCATTTCTGTTTACTTCACTGCAGAGCAGATAGAGCCCTCAGACTGCATGCTCTAATGTTAATGTATTGCTTCATCAATAATTTACAGGTGATTTGCTGGTATTATGTACTTGAAACAGTTTATTATCAGCATTAGAATAATTACTGTGTGTTCTCCATCAGCTTGAGCAAGACAGACCTATAACCACCAAGCCATCCTATCTCACTAGTTAATAATTTAAATAGAATCTACTCAATATAGAGGCACTATATTTTCCAATTTTCAAGCCCTGAAGTCCAAGTAAGATGCTAACACCTACATTGCATCTTTGCACAGCTTATATTTTTCTGAGTTACAGCAGCAACATGCCTGCTTACATGTCTAGAGATAAAGAAGAAAAATCTTAATTACAAACTAAGTATACAAAACCACGTTGATACGTACCGCTGACTTTAGATGGTGAGTAGACCTGAGATAGCTACTAAGCTCAGGTGTATTAAAAAGTCACTTTGATCAATCTCTCCAGAATTCGCTAAACCTAAGACAATAACTGCCTGGTTCTAGAATTAAGTGAATAAATGCGTATCAAAAGAAAGACATCCACAGTGCTGAGAGGTATCTATTTAAAAGTAACAAAAAAGATCAAGATTAATGTTGCCTTAGAAAACCTGAGTAAGTAGGAAAAAACACTAAATATTCTTTTTAATATACAAACACAGCCTTTTTCTAAGTATATTTTGAAGATATGGCTGTTCTACAGTGAGCTCAAGTACCAGCGCAACAGAAATTAAATCTATGAGAAGAGGTATAAATGTAAGCAGTCAACTAACTTGTAGTATTCAGAAGCGGTTTCAAATTCACCCAGGAATATGTAGGCATTTCCAAGATTGCTGTATGCTCTTCTTTCAGCTGATCTGTCACCAAATTCTTTTGCAATTAGGAGACGCTTAAAAATGTGAAATAAGCATATTAATCACATTTTGTACTTCATAACATACATTTGCACACAAAATTGAACGCCCACAGACTTTCCAACCCTATCTGTTCTTTAGGCCAATGGTGCTTGAAAAGAACAGCCAGACTTGACACTAGATCTAAAGCTTGCATTAAAAAGCTCATGAGCATACAAAAAAAAGACACACATGTATACGAGGTCTGGAGCAACCGGTGATATTTCATGTTGCTGTACCTGTTCATGGGCTAAAACTGCACTCCTGAAGTTGCCCAGAAGGTAGTGTGTGTTTCCCAGATTTCCAAAGGCACGTCCTTGTGCTGCTCTATCACCCAGCTCTGTGACTATTGTCAGGTTTTCCCTGTTTTGAACAAGTGAGAAAAGAAAGACTACTGTTTTGAAGTTATTTTTTCTCACAGTCATTTAAAACAGATCGTCTTCCTATTTAGATAAAGGGAAAAGCAGGATATTCTGCTTTGGCCTACTTTAATGGCCTTTATGCAACCACAATTCTTCCACTGAGTAGTGAATACTTTCAGTGAGACACTGAACTGTGTTCTTGTTCATGCTGACCTGCTCGTTTCAAAGAAAAAAGCTATATTATATGCAAGTACACAACATTCAGTTGTCTCAGTCTTGTTCTAAGAGCAATGCTGAATTCTAATTTAGGGGAAGGACTTACCTAGTAATAAAAGGTACAGTGAAAATGAGAGCTAAACAAAATATTGTGTACTCTTCTGTTGAAAAGGAAGATATTCACAGGTCTTATTAAGCTCATGACTCCACAAATCTCAATATTTTAATGAAGCAGATGAATATATCTTCTCATTTACCAATATTTAGAGCTACTACTTACTCATAGTAATTTGCAGCTTTTTGCAAAGCATTTTTCACATCCTCTGGAAGCTCCCCTGGATCATGTGTTCCAGCACAAGCCACATTTTTCCCTTTAGAGTGATAAACATTTCCCAGGTTATACAGTGCTCTAGCTTCTCCAACCTGAAACAACAGTGAAGCGAGGCATTAAAACTTTCTAATTCAACTCCTGTGTCACAACCTTTAGTGCAGTCCACAGAAAGGAGTTTGTTCACTACTTGCCAATGCACGCTCTGTCTATTCTGAGTATGCTCTCATTGCCTACCCACATCAGGCCCACTTGCACTCCTCAATCAAACTGTATCGCACATTATTTCTTTTTGAGATATATAAGATACATAACAATTATTGAGGCCAATTATTAAAAGAATTTTTTTTTAAGTCTCCTAGGTGCAAACAGCCATCTTAAAACTGACAGATTCTTATTGTCTATTAGAAATATTGGAATATTCAATATTTAATTTCCTCTGAAAGATGGCACACTCGTTACCAAACAACAGGGTTCACTGATACGTATTCTTTGGAGTTTATTTCCAGATTTCTAAGCATCACTCACCTTATCATTAAGCTCTCTGGAAATATCCAGATGTCTTTGACAACAAACAATAGCTTCTTCAAAGTTTCCGAGTACCTTCAAGGTGTTGCCCAGATTTCCACTAGCTTTAGCTTCTCCCACTAGATCTCCAATTGTCCTAAAATTGCAGAAGTAATTCAAAACCAAGCCAACAATCAGAAGAATAAATGGAAAGAAAATGTAAGCATATATATATATATTCCATTAAATTTTATCTAAAAGGCATTCAAATAAATATCTATCGTTATGGAAACACTTAATTTTGGTTCCTAATGATTATACAAAAAGGTCAGCCAGGATGACAGAAAGTTTTAACTGCTTCTTAGTTTTCCTTGAATATCATCCTTTTATTATACAGTAAACCTACTGGTTTTTCAGAAAGCTCAGAAGAAATACTACTCTTTTAGGTTCTGAATGAGATTAAGGCAAAAGATTACCACCGTCTCTGCCTCTGATACCTGGGGAATAATGCAACAGAACAGCAGGTTCCCACAAGGATACTTACTGAATGTAAGCACCTTCGTAGTTACCACACTTAAGCAAGTAAAGGGGGTAGAAAAAATAGATTTTTGCTTATATTGTGGTTAAGTCCTACATTAGCATGTGTATCTTTTATTAGATCTACAATAAATAATTAAAAATGAGATCATAAATAGTGTATGAAATACACAGCTGTAGATTTCAGTGTACTGTATTGTGAGTTTTACACATAGAAACATGAGCAAGTTTTATCTTTTAAACAAGAGAGCCAGAGAGATTTGAGTTTTAGGAACAGAGAAGGGTAAAGAAAGGTTGGATTTAAAGAAGCTTCTTAATTATCCACAAACCTGGTAAGGCCTCAGTTAGTACTAGGATTATGGTGCTACGCTGAGCATTAGCTCCCAGGTTAAAGGGCAGTTAAGTTACCTACCAGGCCCCCGGCCCTCTCCTGTCACCACATTCATGCATTATCTGGTATTAGCAGCAAGTTTTGGTAGGCAGACCAAGAGCCAGCTGCTCACTTCTACAAAAATAGGATGAAATGGAGAACATGGTTAAAGACACAAGATTACCTTGCAAGAGTTAAATCATGGTGATGGTATTCCAAGGCCTTTGCATATTCATGCAAGTAGAAATAGGCATTGCCTAGCTGGCTGTAAATAGCACTGAGTGTTTTTAAGTCTTCAGTTCCAACCTGAACAGCTGCTTCAAAGAAAGACACACCAGCTCGGCAATCTCCTGCTTTACACAGGCGCTCACCTTCCAAAGCCAGCTCCAGGCAAGAAGCCTCCATCCTGCATAGGTTAAGTAAAAAGAGATGCCTGTCACTCTGTATGCAGTACTTTGTCCAGTAATCTTGAGTTCTGAAAAGGTGCATTTTACTTCGAGGGTGATCTTCATTTGTTGAGGACAGGAAGTCAGCACCTCAGTACAACCAACCACTATGATTCTCTAACATTACAGAAGCTAAGGCTGAAACAAAACTTGGCACCTCAGTAGTAATATGCAAACATAGCAGTGGAACAAAAAGCTTCAACTGCTTTTATTTTTGTCTCGAGGAGGAAATCCAAACACTGCTTTGTCCATATACAGCATCTAAAGGGATCCTAAAACACTGAATATTCACCATCTAGATAATTTCAGAACAATGAAATAAAACTCAAGTGACTACTGCCAAATACTGATTTTGACAAATGTAATAATGTAGTTTTAGCTTTTTACTAATAGGCTCGCGAAGGCAGAATAATCAAAGAATTGAACACTGTAATGGTGACACAGAGGTACAAATGGATGTGGCAGTATTTACAACAGGCTCACAGCAATTGCTTTCTCCCTTCCAACTCTGCATCTCTGAAGAAGTCAATTTTACTTTTAGGAAGCTAATGTAGTAACTTACAAAATGTATTATTAAAAGCAAACATCTTAAAAGTCCAAATGTTCTTGTGTATCAAAGGCCACGACTACTTCTCCTAAAGGTCTTTCCTATGTAATTCACTACTACTTCATAATTTATTTCCTATAGTGTCACTGCTATGAAAATTCTCAGTGCAAAGAAAAAAATAGACTTAATTAACAAATGTATGTCAGTTCCTGTTACTTTAATGAAAAGCCATAAATCCAGAAGACACTGGAATATGTTGGATTATTATGAACAAATAACCATATATTTATGCAGGTATAAAATACTGCAAGCAGTAAAGAAGATATCAGTGAATCTGTGGATTATATTTTGAACAAAGAATAAAGGAGCTCTGAGAGAGAACAGTGGCTGCCAAAAAATATTCATATGCACTTCCACTATTGCAAATTCAGGCATACAAAAGGTAAAAAGCTAAAGTTTCATGAAGTGTTAACAACCATACATGAAAATTTCGTACTTTACAATTGAGATATGAGGAGGGTAGGAAGGCAGAAGGTAGAGAGGAAGACAGCTTTAGAGTCATAATCCTGAAGTGTTCTCTAGTTTTTTAGGAACATCTGCATTTTAGCAAAGCTTACAAAAATGCCACCATTCTGCTTTTAGAAGATTTTTTTGAGAAGAAAATTAGTAAGAGACATTCTCTAATCATTCAAAAAGCGTGCGCCAAATACTGCCAAAAAATGTTGGCCATGACTTTGTCAATTGGTGTATTGTTTTAAGTCTTTCTTCTAGATGGACTATGTTTTGGCTGTTTGGCACTGCAGTCCAAAATAAGACATTTTGCATAATTTAATATATCTTTGTTATCAAATAATATCAAATATCAAATAATAATATCTACGTGGTTGTAAGAATAAATATTCTAGAAATCTAGTTCAAAACATATGTCTGCTTTCCTTTATATGCAAGATCAGTAACAATTACAAATGTTTGCTTTTCCAACAGCTGTTTTAGCAGCAGCACTAGAAGACAGCTGTTTCTACAAGACACAGAAACAAAATATTTAGTGTACCTGCAATTTTTACATTTATTTTTCTAAATCAGAAAAGAAATAGTTTTATACAACATTCTACAGAAACCAGAGTAAAAAGAAAGCATTTTTGACAAACCTACTGACTTGCCAAGAGAACCAGAAGAATCTGGATTGTAAGTAAAATAAGCTACTAACACAAAATAGTACCATACCTGCTGGTCTTTGACATTCCACAACTTAAGCACAGTGAGATGACAGACATATTTAACTTTTGCAATTAAAAACACTGTCTGCTTGGTAGTCGGTAATGATGCCAATAGCAAATGGTAACTGAAGTATGAAGTTCTTCCCAGGCACAACTTCTCAGGTTGGATATCCATAACACATGTGATGGCAACTTTGGAAGCTTCTCAGAGAAGCTAAAGCACTCCTATTGCTAGAGCACACAACTTGTTTTTTATTACATGGTGCAGGTGTTGAATGTAAGACAGAAAAAGGCAGAAATGATTAAGCACAGCATGTTACACCATCAGCAACTGCAGGTTTAAGACTTAAACACATCATTGGGTAATCTTAATCCTATCCAAAGAGGTTCTCTCCGGGCACCTCATGTTAACTGACATGCCTAATTAAAGTGATGGCTAGAAAATATGGTGCTCCTCAGTGCGAAGCCTTAGAACATTATACAATCATGTTCATTTCCTCTCATTTTTAGCTTGAAAGGATTGCAGTAGAGCTTTCAGTAAAATGCCTGTATGGCAAAAAAAGTCACTCCAGACATATAAATTGAGTTAGCCCATTAAAAAATCATGTTCTTATTTGCAATTTGAGAATGCTGTGGACCAGGAATTTTTCTGATATTCTCTGCACTCAAGTAATTTCACATTATTTCAAAGACTGCCAGATGCAAAGGCAGCATTACTGTTTTGTGAAGGAACTTGAAACAATCTTATGACTCTGCAATCCTGATTTAGTACCACTTATACATATGAAAGATGTGTTTTGTTTTCCATTTTGGTGTTGTGTTTTCTTCCCCATACAGAAAGCTAAAGCTGATGAGTATCAGCTATTTCAATTCAACCAGAATCATAGGAAGGAAATGAGAATGAGAATTAAAAATTGTTTGGGTAAAAAAGAAGTCAAAATTTAATACTACTTGAGCACACCTCCAGAAAAGTTGCTTCAACAGCTACAGGAATCTCTGCAACAAATTGAAGCTATATGGATCCATGCTTACTGGCCTTCCACATTTTTGAAGTCTAAATACACTATAAAAAGATAAAAACAGATGAAAAAAAATGTGATGTACTGCAGTTTCTTCTACTCAATATTTTATTCAGACTTCAGAAAAGCTATGGAATTATTATGTTATTTTACCACTTTGGAGCAAAAGGGTTTCTAAGTTTATCCATAAAGTACAAAAATGGACCCAGAAAATGTGTATATATGAATATATATTTTTTTACAGACTTTGGAAGACTGCTCTAAAAAAATCACACATTTTTAGAAGATGTATGTAACTGTTATACAGTCAACAACCCATCACCTTGTGTTCTCAGAGGCTGTTCTAACTGCTAATGGTTAAACAGCATGTCAGCAGAACAGACAGAGCCAGGTTATCAATGTTTTAGGAAGTCATTAAATAGTTAGAAGCAGAATATGAAATTACTTTCTCTGTTCCAAGGGCTGAATCAAATTACTTATTTATTCAACACAGAATGGCTAAACAAAAGATACACTGAATTCACAGAGACAAGAAAACAAGGCCCATTCATCTCCATACTCCTAATGAAACTCTGTTCCTGCTAAACAGGGTAGCTTTCTTCCAGACACAACTCTGGAAATACTCCATTATTCTGCTTATAGTTGCCTCCACCTGCTCTCTGAAAGGCTGGCATCTCCTGAATAATTTCTCATTTGTAAAACTACCTCATCCTTATCTCTCCCTCCAAGCTCTTCATCTTCCCTGGCTCCCTTCTGCTTTGTTTTGTTTTGGTTTTTAGTCTTCTCTGACCTTCATATTCTCTTTTGAAACCTGACCCTAATAAGAACACAACCCCTAAACATACGCCTCCATCCAGGCCTCCCTGTTTTTCTCCCCTTTGGACTCTTCCATCCTTTATCTGTTCACAACTTGAAATAAAGAATGGAAAACTGGTAAGAAATAAGGCAAGAAGAAGAAAACAAGATTACACTGATTATATTAGTCTTTTAACACTGCTAATTTAGTTTTACTCCATTCAATTTCTTCTTAGAGGATTTCTGAAAACTTGCTGTTTGGTGGGGTGTTGCCTTGTACCTACGCTGTGAAACATATGGATCCACGCATGGACACAAAACCAAAAACACCTACTACCTGTCTTAAATTCAGAGAGAAAAAAATCACTAACGCCACAGAGTCCTATACTACAGATGGCAGACTGCTCCTCATTCCTACCTTATTCCTGGTTTCCATGCATAACGTAGAAGTGCATCGCATTGATCAGACCAAACAACTTAACTACATGGCCACTGGAACACTGTGTTTAGTCAGACTATTACAAGTGCTGTCAATTTTTGTTCCATGAACTTAGGAGACCAAGACAAATTACTTCTACAAATATTTACTCTATAGATCCCTTACTTATTAGTCACAGTTATTAACATCAGCATTTCAAGTCACCAGTCGACATTGTAACAGTTTTTTTTCCATCAGTGCAAGCCTTTTGCAGTTGCTAAAGCCAGTTTACTGTGTGCCACTCAACTGCTGTGGGGAGAAAGTGCAGTCAGGAACAGACCCAAAGTAGGAGTGGGCCAGCAGTTTCCTTGTACAGCCAGTTCCAACAGAATGCCAGTGGGAAAGTTTGTCTGAATTTAGGAAAGTTTAATATATGAAAAAAAAAAACAAACAACAAAACAAACAAGGATTACATCTCCATGTTTTTCAAATATTCCTCAGATCATAGTTGTTAAAGAAAGGTTTAATAAGGCACAAATACTTCTTTTGTTAATCGGTATCATTTAAGCTTTAACAGAAATACAGAATAAAGCTGTAAGACATTTTGCTCTACCCATTACCAAATTTGACAAAGTTATTTCTGGCTTGTCAATTTTAACAAGGCAATTAATTGGCCATGAGTTTCTTTGCTCATTTACTGTCATAAGAATAACCTTAACAGCCCCAGCTTTTCTGTTAGAGAGCAAGGATCTACTGCAGTTGTCTGGGAACAACCAAGGGCATCAGCTAGATGTAGCCAAGAAACAGCAAACACGGCAGAAATACCAAGCTCACATGTTAGTGATTTCCGTTATCAAAGCCAATGTATACAGTTTTTAGCAAAGAAAGAGAGAAGAGTTGAAAATAAGCGTTATTTACCATTTTTTCCCATATTGACCACAAATAAGTTCCCCTTGCTGAGTGCACTGCTAACCAGAACTACTACTGTACTTCTGTGAAATGGACGACAACCAACCAACACTCAGAAAGCTGTTTTGACTGGATACTACATGGATACTACCTTCATATTCATGTGAATTAATTTTAAGCCACAGCACGTGCTATCTTACAAATCAGGGTGGTGCTGTGTTTCTGTTAGTGAGGAAAATGCTTCCAAAGGAGGGCTGACTCGGGGAGAGGGCAGGGGAATGCACAAGAACCACGCTTTTCATTTGTTTTTCAAACAATCATTCCACTGTTCCAGCGTCCCTTCCTGTTGAATGAGCTGCAAGATATACCCTTTCCAGCAGCAGCCACTCAATTACAGTGCACTGCACAATGTTTCTGTTGTTTAAATTCATTAGGGGGAGTCTGGAATGCTAACATTTCATCTCACATCTATAAAGGAGATTCCAGAAGAAAAAGGATAAAAGCATTCAGAAGCGCAATGGCATATCCTCTTGACTTGCAATTATAGGACTTTTTATTTCAAAGTATCAAAGCAGTTTTTAATCACTCAGCCGAATCTATTACAGGTAAGGAAAACAGTGCTCTAGATGACACTGCCCATCACAGCAGCAGTAATGGGACAAGTACAGAGAACTTTAGCAGACAAAGCTCCGTAGTTTGCAGAGGCAACCCAAAAACTAAATGAAGAGATAACATGTATTACCACACAGGGATCATACGTTGGATCATTGTACCACAAGTCCAAGAAGAAAGACAATAGAAATACAAACACTCGTGCACTGTTCTGCAGCCACACACAATTCTAGAATCATCCAAACTATTCTACTATATAACAAAAGTGAATTTTCAAACTTGAAAAATGAAGGAAAGTAGTGATTTAGCTTTCCATTTCAATCTCAGTAGTAACAGAGACACCAAACTATTGCAAACATAGTTAGTTTTCTAACATTAACAGAACTTATTCATCCAAACTAAAATTCATTATCTTACCTGTATCGCACATGAAAAGACTGGTCTTCTCGCATGCTTATCAAAACATTACTTTCCTCCATTGAGCTGCATTATCAGTAGAGAAAACACTACTGTACTGTAGCAAAGCCAGTAGTTTGCTATGGAGAATTGTTGTCAGAACAGCATTCCAGTTAGTAGGTTAATAAATTGGCATACAGGTATCCTAAGCTGCTGTTGAAATACTCTTCTTTGTTACTAAGGTAAGCAAGTCACTGCCAGACACATCTTAAACTTTCAGAAACGTGTTCAAGTTCTTTCATCTGTGGCCCTTTCAGCTCCATTCAGCTGCATTCCTGCAAAGGGAACACAAGACGCTTGGCTTGAAGTCTCATAACATCCCGTTCATAACTCACAACTATTTGTAGCTAATGTAAAAGCATAACACTACTCTGACCAAGCAGGAAAAGTCAATCAAGAATGTAAAGCCAGAGCCAGAACATTCATATATACACAGCAATTCCTGTAGGCAAGCAAGAAAGCAAGGTTTTACAAAAAAACAATGCTCTTCCCTGTTGGAAAATTCAAGTCATTCATCCTTGTTAGGTTTTTTTTGGCCTCATGAAGTTCCATGTAAAAAGAATAAAGGATGAAAGCTACAGAATAAAAGGTGTAACATAAAACCGATTCCAAACTGCTTCACATGTCAACAGCTGCCAGAACTGGCTGACACAATCCCACCTGGAGAGGCCCATTCTGGAAACCACCCCTCTGAACATTAGGAGCACAGAAGCCAGCAGAGGTTTCAGCTCTACTCCCTTTCCCTTCCTCTCCCAAAAGGAAAAGGATATTTTTGTTTTGCCTTCTCATTTTTTATGGTTACATATTCTGAAGTGCCGCAGTTGCTGTATGAGCTCCAAACCCTGCTTCAAAGGGACTGCAGCAGCCAGTGCTCAGAAGTTCGACCTGTTTAGGCTGGCAGGGAAAACAATTTATCAAAAAGAAACTATTTAGAAGTTTACCCACTTTTAAGTATATTTTTAGTAGAGGAGTTGACATATTTATTGCTTAGCACTAATACTACCTTCCTTTGCAAGTAAACATACAGTTGTGTAATTCACAAATGCATATTTCATCAAGAGCTTGCAGAAATGTCACAAAACAAGAACAGAACTCAAAGTTGTCAACAGAACTCACCCATCTCTATACTCTTAAATGTCAAGGAAGGCAATGCCTTCTCATTAGTTTCATCAATTACCAGGGACGAATATTCATGCTTCTCACCACCCTCCTCTCTGACAGCATCTTTCAAAGAGACCGTTCACAGTGTTCTTCCAGTCAAACAACTACTTTGCCCTCCCACACTCAGCATCAGAGTTATTTGGCATCAACAAGTGGGTGTGGGTATACTTTAGCAATTACAAAGCGTGATACATACATTTTTAAATACCATTGCAACCCACGCACTGGGAAGACCACATGACAGGTATTTGCTCTGCGCAGGTTTGCACAAAGCTCAAGTCAGGCAATTCCTGCAAGCAGCCGGCTGTAAGTGGCCCTGCCTGCACTCATCGCCCCAGAGCAGTCCTGGTGCTCGGCACTACAAGGGGACCAAAAGTTACTAATATGCTTCATATCACATGTCAACAACTTGATTGAACTGGGTTCCATTTCCATCTCGTATGCCATCACCAGTGGGTGCCACCTCCCTGCAGCTGGAAGCCCTGCTGCCCCCTCCTGCTGACTGCATGGCACATTGCTGGCCTTAGGTGGCTGATGCGGGCACACCGAGCTGGCCCATGTCCAACTAAAGGCACATTAATCAGAGCAATTAATTAAAAATTAAGGTGGTAGATATCCATAAAGACTCTTGCAGACACTACCTCCTTAAATCAGAAGATTCCAGCAGCATCTTTGGTTCCTTTTCTCATCTCACCATCTCCCTTGACCATATTTCCGTTTTGGAGACTGTCAGATGATTGATGATCAAAAATCATTTCTGTGCTCATCAGCAGCAACAGGCTGCCTGGCAGCCACAGGCTGACCAGTCACTGGGGGCTGGCTACTGGAACACACCCAGCCCAGCTTGTCCTGCCTTACCTATAGGAGGCAACAAACCAAGGCCTTCTCTACTCATCTGCTATTTTTCACAGAGCTACAGAAGCATCTGCCAAATGACATCATCAAAGTCTGAGAGATTCAGAATTGACATGGTGAAAGTATAAATCGAGACAGACCAACCACACACATTTCCTTACAAAAATTAGGTACAGAGAGTGGTTGCTTCAAGATCGCAGTAATTTTTCCAGTGTTGAACTAAGTCTTTCAGGGAACGGCTACAGCATAAGTGAAAAAACAGGAAAAGAATCTCGCAATGGATTACCTGAAAACAAAGCAGAGCTTTGTGTACCATGTGAAGAAAAAGACAAACCAAGGAACAAAAAAACACAGCAATGGTTCTGTTACTGAAATACAGAGGTTAGTTTGACTCCAGACCTTGAAAGCGTAAATCCACATGTAAACATCAACAGTGAGTCTAGAGGTACTGAACCACAATTGGAACCACACAAACCACAATTTTAGTCTCTAATGATGTCCAGGGATATTTTTAAAATTCACCTAAATTAACACAGAAGCCTGAGATAAGCCCCCCCAAATTTAATTAATTCTACTTCAAATTTAACCTTGTATTCGCATGGAAAACAGACAGCCAATAGCATTTATGCAATAATAACCATTCCCCTCTGAACAATTCTTAACATAGCAGTGTGACATGTTGGGAAGCAGCTGTTTTCTCCAGACTTTGGCATGACACAACTCAAGTGCTGAGCCATGAGGGGGATGTGCAGGTGAACAAACCCCACACAAGGACAAGCAGTGAGGTGACTCTTGGAACCTTACCGACGTGCTCAGCTCTGCACCGCGTCTGACAGAAGTTCAACAGCTGATTAGCTGGCACCACATAGAAACCCCCTTACTGACAAAGTGACTTTGAGGTTTTATTCATGGCCAACAGTGGATGCAGAGCAATTCCAGCTCTGGAATATCTCCTTTCCTCCAGATGGCTTTACACATGGCACAGATACCCTCAGGGCTCTAGATGAAGGACTGGCTTAGAAGCACCCAACACAAGCAGCGTTCCAGCAAAACACCTGCCAGACAAGGGTGAGCTACACCCAGAGGACAGAGCAGGACAGTGGGTGTCTGTAACTACGTGGGACTCTGCCTAGGAGCATGCCTGATAGAGCAGATTCTGCACAGTTTGTCATTACCCAGTGCAAGGGGAAGACCCAGCCTATGCTATCAGACTTACCAGACAAGCTGTAAGTAAATACATTAATACTAGCATCTAATATGCTTGATCCAGATGCTTCCTCCTCCACCCCAGATCTATCTGCTGACTGACAAATACCAGACCACATGAAACTAAATCATTTCACTGAATATTGCAGCAAGTCACAAAGTGGGTGGAAAAAGGGTACTGCATCAGCTTTGGGCCACACGTGACACCCATTCAACAAAACAGGAACCCTACCAACCCACTTGGCACAAGCCTAAGATTTCACTTACAGCACGCAGCTGTAAGGCAGAAGGCAGCACACAAAGCTTCCTCCCTTGTTCCGAAAGCTATTTTTGCATAGGAAATCATCCGCTCCTAGTTGGAAAGAGAACCAAAAGAATGCTAAGAGAGGTGTTTCATTGCTAGAACTAACTGACCTATGGCTAACTACCTTGTATGAATCAAAAGAACAGGAGTACAATAGAGAGGCTTGGAATTTTGACTCCCTGATCTATGAAATGATTTCATCTTCTGCCCCCAGCCTGTTCCTACTGCTACATTACTGTAAAGGATAAAAAGGGTTTTTGTCCATGTACTTAACTCAGTGTGGCTGCAGGGGGAGAAAGCCCCAGCGACAACCAAGAGCCAGGATGCCCAGGACAGCCTGAAGTAGGACTAGAAAACAGCTTTACTGAAAACACTGAGTATCAGTAAGAAAAATAAATAACAAATATTCCATGAAAATCTACAACTACTTTACAATAATATTTGATAATAATCAATTATACAAGTGAACAATTTTATTTTTTAATAAACTTTAAAAAGATCCAAGTGAGAAGATCCTTCTAACTCTCAAGACACTACAAACCAACCAAACAAAAAACAACAGGTAGCGAACATGCCTGAGACAAAGCTTGCTCACAATGAAGTGAGGATCACATTGCACCCTCAGCTGAAAATGAAAGCATGGACACAGCTCCAGAGCCGAGTCCAGCATCGATTATGTAACTGCTAACACAGTGCTGCATTATGACAAACATGGTAACAGTGGAGATACTTAATTTGCTGCCCTATTTCTAAACAGGCTTGATCTAATTTTTACATTCTTTGGCTACCTAAACACAACTGACCGTGCTGCACAGTGCGTTCCAATCCAAGGCAGAGGAAGCTTGGTTCTTCCAGGCCCTCTCATGGACAAACCCTCTTCACTCTTCCTCCACTTAAAGCCCTTTTTGGCCTAACACAACAGATACCCTGGTTCATACAACTTTATGCTAAAGGTTAAGCAAACCCTAGGAGCACTTCCACATGCCCTCTAGCATTATCTGTATATACTTTCTATCTATTTCATGGATTAGAAGTAATTAAATTTCCCTTCATATTTGTGCTGTGCCTAGTTTACGTAATCGAGTTTGCAGCTTTAATGCTCAAGATCTGCAATATGGCAAGCCTTTTCAACCCCATGTATTCTTTTGGTTCATTTTTTCTCTTTATCATTAAAGGGCTGTGCAAACATCTCTTTAACAAGTAAGCACTGCCTAGCATTATTTTCAATATTGCTCACAATGATCAGTCCTAAAAAACAAAACCAACCAACCAAACAAACAAAAAAAACCCAAGAAGAATCTTAATGACCCAAGTTATTTCTTCCAGGTCATAAAAAACAATAACACCAACTGAATCCAGAAGCACTTTCCTAGTCTGAGTCAGAAGGAAGCTCATCCACATTCTTAAGTGTTATTTTATTTTCCTTCCCTGTGAAGCACCCAAGCCATGGATAAAAACCACATAGACACTTTGCAGTGAGAGAAAACCACATCATACAAAAAACTAAAGGGGAAAAAAAAAAAAAACCTTGTAATTAAGGAATGTTCACATTTCTGGACAGAATGCACTATCTCTACTTGCACCAAATGCCTTATTTTCACTCAACAATCAGACTGAAATACAAATGCATTCCTTTTAACAGGATCACTCATTAACAGCAGAAAGAAATGCCAGGCACTTAGGATAACAACGCAATACATGAGTGAGAAAAAACAACATCTCCTCGTTGCTGGTGTGTTCATCAGACTACTGTCATGGTTCCAAGCCAACTATTAACTACAGTAAGTGAGGAAGTGCCCTATTAGGCATTCATCAGTAATACAGGTTTGTAAAGAGAAATACTTAAGGCATCTTGCAATGATGCAGGCTATACAGTACAGGCCAAGAACACACTGCTGACAAAAACAAATAGAACAACCAGTACATATACTTACAGCAGGCAAAGGAACACAGAGCAGCAGCCAACGCACATGTGCTGCACGTACTCCACTGACACCTGAGTGTAAGAAACAGCAGAGTTCAGCAATGCAGAGGTGGAGATCTCAGCGCCTCTCTCCCAGAAGACCTTTCAGAACAGAATTTCCCTTTATGAAATAATTAATATTTATCTGTAAACAGCTAAATACCTGTCGCCCAACGTGCAAGGAACTAACAGAAATACGCACAAGTAAGCATTGTAACTCTAAGGACAGTTCTGCAAGTAGGTCACATAAGGCAGCCATCTAAACTCTGCTGTAAGGCCAGCCCCCACCATGGCAATATACAAAAGGAAAGAAGAAAAGTGCCTGCAGCATAACATAACTAATATCCTTATAATAAAACTAGTCAGGAAACAAGGAACTAATTCTATGTGCAACGAGATTTTCAAGATTTTCAATGCAAAATGCTTAAGTAATACCTTCTCTGCGCCTTGAAGAACAGCAAAAACTGAGTTGCTGGGCATCCTGCCTCTGAGATACCAAGACCTGACTTTACATCTGAATCTCACTCTTGCTCGCCAGGACAACCTCACCGTGCCAATGCTGGACGTCAGGCCTCTCCCAGCTCACCAGGCAGTCACTCAAACACCACTACAGGCTGCCAAGGAGCACCAGATGGGAAACACTCCACACAAAGTGTTGTACTTACACTGATGGAGAGTGTTTATCATGAATCACTCCAACAACGTGCTCCACTTCGCTCAGCTCTGTTTTGCCTCTACTGCCCACAGCTGTACCCAAACTCAATAACACATCACCACACAAATCCTGCACGCTCCCCAGCCACAACCAGGGGCTGCTGGGTAACAAGCCCATGAGGCACTGCATGCAGAACCGAATTCTGAGCAGCACAACAGCAGGACAGTGGCAGAAAAAAGAGCAAAGAAATTAAAAGATTTGGAGAGGCACCATGGTAGATCACATAATGTTTTTCCCTCATAACTCAGCGGCACAAAAGCTTCCCCTTCACATTAATAACAGTTTGTAGCAGAAGTTCTATTATCTGAACAAGAACACATGTCAAGCACTAAGAGGCAACTTGCCTTTGACCAACGTCATACACATCTCAGACCACCTCTCACCAGGTTTCCTACTTCGGTTCTTCTGGTATTTTATACTGCTGACGCTGTGATCTTTAACAACACAGTATTCTATTTTAGATACACTCATTCACATAGCTAATTTTTGATTGAGTGTCTAAATGAAAGCAAAGAGTTTCTTCCTTCATCTGATATCTTTCTGTTCTCTCCTTCAAGGGAACAGTAACAGCCGTAACAGCTTTGTCTCTCACCAGGCCCTAAGATCAGTACTTGTGAAACAAATTATTTCATTAATATGTTACTGATAAGGACTACTAAAAAACAGATCTGAATATGAATGACGAAGTCGTGCAGGGCAAAAGTGACTCTGCAGCTGCTACCAAAAACATGAATGACAGCAAGTGGAAAGTACAAATAACTTTGTTATTAAATGTAACAAATTAAGCACAGATACAGTTGAACATACTAACAGAACTCATTACATTTTAGAAAAAGAACACATTTATTAACATGACTTCTAACTTGTGGGGAATGAAGCTGCTCTCCATCTCCGTCCTTGGAGGTGTTCAAGACCAGGTTGGACGAGGCTCTGGGCAACCTGATCTAGTAAAGGTGTATGTTTGGTGGCCCTGCTAGGCAGGGGGGTTGGAACTACATGATCCTTGAGGTCCCCTCCAACCCAGGTCATTCTGTGATTCTGTGATTCTGTGATAACACACATGGGGACCCTAGTGGCTTAGAAAAATCAGTCTGCTGTCATTTGCCGGCAAGAAAACACAAGAATAGACAACAATAGTCCTAGCAAATTAGGAAGAGAATTCTCCCTGATGAGATAGAATTCATTTCCAAAACTGCACTGATCTCCTTTTCAATATGCTAGAAGAAACACATCTCCCATGTTTGTGCAGTGCTGCTATTCGGCACGCTCAGATGTGCCAGTCTTTAAATAATTCAGAAAGCGAAAGGAATAAAAGGAAGAGAGAAGGGAGACAGCAATTTGAGCCAAGTGACAGGGACAGCACGTGAAGAAAATGCTGAGATATCCATCAATACCTTTAAAAAAATATTTCAGCCTTCCAAGCATCAACTACTGCTGTATTTCTCCAGCAAGAGCAACGGGAATATACAATGGCAAGCCGCTCTCAAACAAGAGCATTACAACGAGCCGCACGGAGGTGTGTTCTGGCCCAACGAAGCCGGCTCAAGTTTCGGGCGGGTTTTGTGTAAGCTCAGCAGTATCCGAAGGCGCAAAGTCCATTCCCCAGAGGGCCACGGAACCGCCGCGCCCACGTAACCACGGATGGAAGCAGCGCAGCAGAGCGCTTCTCACTCACAGCAACGCGCGTGCACACACAGACTTGGGAAGGAGCGCGTCGCAAAGACGACGCCGGTTGCGCTTCCAGCTCTAACGAAGCCGGCGTGTACGCGGAAGGCACAGACCGGCCCGTTATCCCCGCGCGAAGCCGGGCCGCGGCAGACAACGAGAACCGCCGCCCCCGGACGACGCGCCGGAGGAACGCGGCACCAGGGCTGCGGTACGACCCGGCGTCCGGCCGCGGCTCCCAGCGGCTCAGCGCCGCTCGCCGCACACCTCTCCCCGCCGCCCCGTCTCGTCAGGCGCGGCGCGGCCGCCCGCGGGCAGCGACGTGTCGGAGGCCGCGCCGCTTCCGCCCCGGCACGGCGGTGCCGCGTACGTGCGGGACGCGCGGCGACGGCGGCCCCGAGGCACCGGGCCGCAACCGGCACCGACCGCCGAGAGACGGCGCGTTCCCGCCTCCCCCGGCCGCGAAGCCCCTCGGGGCCGCCCGCCGCGCGCGCTCACCCGGTGCCTCCGCCGCGGGCCGCCGGCACGGTTTCCACAGCGACCGCCGCGGCGGGGAGTTCCGGGCGGCGCCGCCCACGCGCAGCCGCGCTTCGAACCCGCCAATCGCCGCGCGCCCCCACGCGTCCCCGAGGCGGGGCGGACGGCGGCGCCGGGCGTTACGCGCACGCGCGGAGGCCGCCCACGGCGGAAGGTCGCATCATTCACAGTGGCCAATGGGAGCCGCGGGCGGGCGGCGACACGGCCGGGTGGGCGGGGCGGCGAGCGCGGCAGGTGCGCGCGAGGCCGGGGGACGGCGCGGGGCGGCGCCGCTCGACAGTAAGGGCGCGTCCTTCTGCCTCCGCTGCCGGCAGGTAGGCGAGATCGAGCACTGCTGCCGCTCGCGGCGCCGCGCGTCGCTCTGCTGCCTTCGTGCACCGCGCGCGAGCTGGGGGACGATTGGAAATCAGGCGAATAACGGCGGGCGGGCGGCGAGCAGCGCGGGCGGCAAGCGCGCGCGTTCTCACAGAGCGGCTGTAGCGCGCGTTGCGTTACCGGCCGCGGCTCCAGTTACCGCAGGCTTCGGTGCTGCACGCGAGGTGAAAGAACAGCCAGCCGTTACCGGCGCTGCGCTCTGCTCTCCTTTTCCTCGTTGTCCCCGCAGCACCGCACCCACGCGTTCCGTGCGCCCAGCCGCCAGCCCGAGCCCGCGGCACTGCTCTGAAACAGCCACGGGGGCCTCAGAAAGCAGGACCTACTGGGAACTGTATTCACTATACAGCAATTCCTACTCATCCCTGACAGATTTAAATCCAAGCACCAGTTAAAGCTCTACCCAGAAAAGCAGAGGAAGGATGCCGTTCACTCGGCCCACAGAGGAGGGGCGCAGGCGGTGAAGCAGCACAGAGCAGCAGTGGATGGAAACCCAAATGAGCTGCTCCATTCACACTGAGCGACGCTGTGTCACAGACACAACCGATGCAGAGCAAGATGACCCACCTTGTGATGGAGATGGGGGAAGAGGCTGTGAATACCACGGCAAGTCAGAGCAAGTGAGTGAGTGCACTTGTAGCACTGATGCTTTAAACTTATCCCTATCTGAAGATAACAGAAACGCATCAGGAAATCATGAGATTCATGTACAACCTGAAGGCGTATTCAGCTATGCTAAAGGAACCATAGGAACAATTGGAATTTCAGGTGGAATACCTGGAAGTGAAGTGTCCTTTAAAAAGGCATTACCAGCTGGTGGTGGTCAACCAGATGGCAAAGACCCTCCGAGTCGCTCCAACATGTCCCATGTCCTTCTGCGCCATTTCCCTACAGGAGAGTTAACAGGCACGTGGCAGCTGATAGAACATGAGACTATACCAGAAACATCCCTGACTGAAAGTATTGATGAAACCACAAACAAACACACAGCTTGTAACTGTGTCAGAGGCCCTTCGACAGGTGAACAACAGGCAGCCAAGTTTGAAGAGCACCACTTAGAAAAGCTAAAAGCAGTGAATATTGGAGGGAAAATTCAGAATTTGCTAAACAAAAATACAAAAACCTCTACTTCTGCTCTTGCTAAGCGTGGGTGCAGACAAGAAAATTTTCTGTTGATTAATGAGCATGATGATGCATGTATCTTTCAAAACACTGAACAGACATACGTGTTTAAGAAATCAGTTCCATCTCATGAGCTCATAGAGGGCCAAGGTGAAGCTCAGAAGTGTCAGGAAGACAATAATGAAGTCACTTCAGAAATGAAAGTACCAAAAATGAGTGAAAATAATAAATCCATTCCCACCATTAAAAGATCATCATCCTTCCCTACATTGCTAAGTAAATCAGTAACCATTAACAGCATTCTAGAAAATCAGAAATGTTTTGATTCCATCAAAGTCACAAATCAGGAAGAAACGAGCATTCCAGAATCATCCCAACAACAAAAGGTAATTAGGATAATTTAAGAAGTTAAGAATTTCTTAAAACAAGAGTGATGTGTACCACGTCAGTCAGTAATCACTTCCACAAAGTTCTGTCGGATATAATCCCTGTGAAGCTTTCATTACCAAATTAACGATGTTCTGTCATGTTATTCCTGATGGCAAAACATTGTAGCAAATCACCAGGAGATCCACTATAAGCAGTTAATTCCAGTATTATATGAAAATGTTCTAATTTCACTAAAAGTAGTGTGAATGGGAACTGTTTCTTAAAATATTTTTAATCCTGTGCCTGTTTTTACATTAAAGACTTACTAACACTTCAGCTATTTAGCCCAGCATTCATTGAAAGGTCAGATTTTTTTATTTTTTTTTTTTTTAAGGTTTTACTCTATAATAATATTTGTCTTACAGCAAATTTTAAGATTTCTCTTACAGTAGTAACTTCCTGTTGAGATTTGTTGGTAATTAGATAATCACTTCTTAATGCCATGCCCTGCCACTGAGTTCACTCACAGAGCTATACAGATGCTTAAGTCCTTTCCTAGGCTTATCCCTTCATAAACTGTTCAGGATGGAACAACTTATAATACATTTCCCTATTACTTCTTGAAGATATATTTAAATGTGAACGCAGCTTGCTGACATCAAGAATCAAACTGATCTTCTGAGATACAAATCATCAGACACAGAAGTCTTCAAAGAAGCTTTCATTCATTCTTATTTCTATGACTCCAAATAATCACCAGAACTATTTTGTCACCTTTATAATATACTTCCCATTTACACAAATTGTCTAAATACAGACTTTTATAACCCCAAGTTGCATATTTCAGTATATACACTATAACACAAACTAAGTCAAAGCGAATTATACAGTTATAATGAGCTTCCCATTAACTTTAGGAAGTTGTCCCATGCATTTCTAAACTTTTTATTGTCCAGAGCATTCTGTATGCTTTTTCTTAAACCAAGGTTCTCACTTTGACAGATACTACCTCAGTCAAGTTCTCCAAATGCAGGATTTGCCACTTACTCAGGAGACATTGGGACAGCCCCCAAAGCCTATACAGCAGACACTTCCGTCGTACAGCCTACACATGGTTTGTCTGAACCAAGTAAGTGCAAATAAGTAACACATTTCAAGTAAATCAATAGCACTTTCGGGTAGAAAGTTTTGGAAAGAAGTCCAACTAATACATTTTCTCTTGCATTACATAGGATTGCCATGTGGGACAACAGCATCTGCATTTCCAGCAACTCATACAGTAGAACTATGCTGTCTAAATGCTTCTAATTTACTGCCCGAAATAACCCAAGGAGAGAAGATGTCTCAAATACTAAAGGAACAGACAGATCAACTAAAAATTAAAGTAAACAGCTCTGTTTCAGTATCTATTTCGCATTGATTCTTTAGTTTTATGGTAACTTGGCATGGTTGCTTTTAAAAAACATTATTTAAGTCTACTATTTTCTCTTGAAGGTAGAAGACTTCTCTAAACACATGACCGAAGAGACATTCCTCTTACAAGATGATTATCTGGTAAACTAATGTTTTTTCAGTTATCTGAAGTGTACTTTAGTTGGCTAGTAGACTTGAGATTTTCTGGCAATATACTCAGTGTTTTTCTCAAACAGACATTTGAAAATAATTTGTTCTGAATCTCAGACTTAAACTAAGTTTAAGAAGCAAAAATGAAGGAGCTCAGTAAGTAAAATTAAAGACTACAATTAGAAAGTAGTTAGTGAAAGGCCTTAAATTGGTATAGAAATCATTAATTATGATTTGTAGGGTAGCATGTCTGGAGGGTTATTTACTATTTTACTTCTACGTGACCAAGCAGTACAGCGTACTGGATAGGTATAAAAGATGCAGTTCAGAGCAGCAGAATTCTTACTAATATCACTGCACATATCATCTGTCTTACATAGTAATATCTACCAATGCTATGTCTTCCTAATGGTAACATCATTTACTATTGAACTCTCTCTTATTGGTGAAGGCATTAGATCAACTGAAAAGATACCTTGAAGCCTTGGAAAGGAATTATCTAACTGCTAGAGAGGAGCACCGTAACTTACAGCTGCAGTACTACAAGGACAAGACTATCAACATTGGAGAATTTGATCCCAAAAGGTTTGAAGATAAATGCCAAATACTTCATCAGTATATTTTCCATATTTCAGAGCACCTAACCACTATTACTTTATCAGTCACACTTTTCAGAGGTGAAAACATCTTAATATTACACGGGGTAAGCTAGAAGTTACTTGGCCAAAATTCATCTCGTGCTTTTATAATAAGGATATCTATTTGACTAATTCAAGCATTTAAAAGAGACTCAGTGAACTCCATTTCTTTCTTCCCTCTATGAACTGTTTATTGCAATGCCAAATACGGTTATCATAGTAAGAAACAGAAGTTTCACTAGCTGTGTATTGTGATTGATTTTAGAAAGGTAGAAGGGGAAATATTTAGACTTGGCACGCTGCTTGAAGACATCCAAGAACAAGCTGATGATAGCAAGCACAAGTGGGCTCCTTCATCTAGTTCCTGTGGATCTGCCCATTCATCATATTCTCTTTGGGAGGTGAGCATTTAAAGACTGCATTATTCCATTTTATTGAAGAAAAACAGAGTGGTTATTGCATGTTCTCCTCTAATATTTGTAAAACCATGATGCTTTTGGATAGCATGTTACTTCAAAAAGGTTTTTTTTGCATGAAATTTTAGCATAATTTTTCATTAATTGTAACAAAAACTTTAGTATGAACACAGCTGCACTGTGCATCTGCATCTAAGTGCTAGCATCAAAAACATTCATTTCTCAGTAAGAAAATGAGCAACTATTTTCAGTTTTACAGAGCCTCCTGGTTTTGAAAATTCATTATTATAATTCAGCTGGAAGAACGATTACTTTGTCCAAGATTCTTTAACTGCAGAACTGCTGGAAGACTAAACATTCTGCTATGGAAAATTGAGTTTACTGTTAAATATAGTAATATTTTGTCCTGGATCATAAATACATGGTAAAAATTGAAATCGTTCTCCACAAATCAAAAGATAAATATTTCCATATGCTTTCATACTCCATATTTTAGAAGTCATTCTTCTCTGAATCTCAAGTAAAAGATAGAAAACGCAGGCTGGTACAAGTCATCTACTTGAAAT